CAGTTCATACCAGGGTGCAGTGAAGCTATTCTGGTGTTATTAGAAAATCTGTTGTATCCTCATTGTTGTTAACTTTGGGCAAATTAATCCATTATGTTTTGTCTGATATATTCCATACTAAGGTTAAAGGCCAAGTGTGTAGGATTCAGCATGATTTACTAGCAAAAACTGTATCTCTGAGTCCAGTTCATTACACACACCCTCAATCATGGGAAGACTCTGATCTGACAGTTGTCCAGATGATAGTTATCAACAGCCTCCACAAGAAGGTTAAGCCATAAAAATGATAGCTGAAAAGGCTGGCTGTTGGTAGAGTGCTGTACTGAAGTAGATTAATGGAAAGTTTAGTGGACAGGAAAGTGTGGTAGCAAAAGGTACACATTGTCTCAAAAAGTTATTTCAAAAAGTTGGGAGAGCTTCACAAAGAGTGCACTAAGCTGGTTTGAGTACATCAAGGCTACTCTTGCATTCCTAATGTTAAGCCACTCCTCAACCAAAGCCACGAGAAGTGTCTCTTTCCACATAAAGATAAAGTTTGCATTTCATCATTTGGAAATCAAGGCCATACAGTCTAGAAGAGGAGAGGAAAGTCACAGAATCCAAGGTGTTTGAAGTCCAGTGTGAAGTTTCTGCATTCTGTGGTGAATTGCATTGCAATGACCAGTGGTGTCAGTTTGCAGTGTTTTATCACGTCCAAAGTCAACATTGTCATCTACAAGTAGATTTTAGATTAACTCGTGCTTCCATCTGCTGACAAGCTTTACGGAGATGCAGATTTCCTTTTTTAGCATTGTTTTGTTAACCATGTTATTACTGTGTTTGACCCAACTAACCTGGCCTGAACTGCCAAGAGGAAGATGAAAGCCACTATGAAAGCAACTTCAGTAACACCTTAGCAGTAACACCTCCATAACACACCACACTGGTGCAGTAATTTGTTGTAAAGGAGCATCAATAAATCAATGCATAAATCAACACACCTTTTCATAAGGTAAACATTTCTGTATAAAACTTTGTTGCTTGATCTTGGAAAATATTTGAGATATATGTATTAAAAAAAAACAATAAGTTGAAGTGTAATTATAAATCACCTTCACTTTTCCATGATAGTCTATTTTAGTAGTCAGTAGTCTCTATGACATGGCAAACCTCCATAATCGTTTAGCAGGGTCTTTTTTAGACAATGGTTTTAAGTCTGTTTATGTTAGTGCCTGCATACTATAGTAACACAAGACAGCACAACTTTGAAGGGCAATAGGACATGAATTTGTCCTCTGATAACAGTTTTTTTTTTCCTTTTGGGCCATAAGGACCCACAGGGACACATTGGTTGTATTTCAACGCTGCGTAATGGAACCACTGAGCTGTTGTCTCGTGCGTCACAGGGATTCTGTTTCAACGAAGAGGATATAATGTTGGGCAGTGAAGATAGATGTAGTTATGTTCTATCCACAGCAGAATTTTAGGTCATTAACATTAAAGATTGAGCTACAGAAGAAATTAAAAGTTGGAAAAGATTTTGGAGTTCAGTTTACAATAACAATCAGTTTAAGGCACTTTATATTTTGAGATAAAGACCCTACAATAATATGTTGAGTGACATATTATATATTCCATATTATATGACATATAATAACATGTAGACACACGCTTTGTCTTCCAGTGTTGGATTTATGGTTGTTCCAGTTCTACTGCTTTCTTCACAGTTCATTTAGATGTTCTAACTGTGTATTCATGTAGTCTAATACAAAAAACTGTACAGTACAAATACTATAGCGTCACCACAACTTGTTCTAGTTCCATTCACAAACTCTGAGGAGTTTGACTGATTAAATGAGCCAAAGGGTGATTTATTTAATCTATTAAAAATTACTATGTTACTTAGGGACCAGACAACATTGCAACATCTGTCACATGCTTGTTATTTAGGATTTGTTGAAATTGATTCTGTAATCTGGCGCAGCAACTATTCTGCCTGTAATTACATTTAGATGCTATGCTGCTCCTTGATTCAAGGCAAAGGGCACATTGTGTGTATGTATTTAAATTTCCATGTATAAGTGTCACATATGTCTCTGCAACTAATCCTAAAATATTTTAGAAAATACTGAATATGGCTATTGATGAGTAAGTAAGCCCTTTAACTGTCTAATCTCTCACTGTTTTTTTTGTGTGTGTGTGTGTGTGTGTGTGTGTGTGTGTGTGTGTGTGTGTGTGTGTCTTGCATTTAAATGTGTACTACTTTAAATCAAAAACAAATCTTGTAATTTAACCAGTTGACATGTTACAGATTTTAGATAATACATACATTGCATTTGCATATATTGCAGTCATTATTATTCATACATTTGTAAATGTAATGATGAAGCAATAGCCTTCGTCTGAACACAAAATGGCTCGACGGTTAATTGCAAGTTACTTTAGAACCTCAAAAAATGGAGAAATGATCTAATATCCTTCCGAGACTGACAGGTGTTACACTTCTCACTTTTCTGTCTCAGTTTTCTGTTTCTCACCTTGAGACACTGCTTAAATCAGTGGAAGGTTTCTTTGAATAAGGCACAAAAGGGGAGAAAGAAGAGTACTGTGTCTGCGTGAGCCAGCTTTGTGTCTCTGGATGAGGAAGAGGTGGGTATGAGTAGTATCATAATGATTTGGATTTCGTTCCAGGTCTCTTGGAACATGCACTGTCTGGTGAAGTATTTTAAAAAGCTGCCTCGTGAATGTGTCTGCTTTGGATCATCAGCCCAGTCAGAGAGAGGGAGGTGGAAGAAGAGAAGACCCACCTGCGTAACCTCAGCTTGTCCTCTGCCAAGAACACAAAACACTGATCCAAGAGAAGAATATGGGTCTAATTTTGTCAGAAGACAGCTCTATCATATCATGAATCTTATCACTTTACATTTTTTGTTTTTACATGGCAGTCTATTGTAAGGAGTACAACTGTCAATATAAAATATACTTGTCTAAATAAATACATTTAAACTCCCTGAAATAATAAAAATAACATATCAAATTAAAAAAAAATACAAAAATATGTTTAATGATTATTTTTGTAACTTTAGCTTGTTATAGTGGAGCCAAACAGCTGTGGGCAGCAGGCAACAGCTTTGCATGTTTTTTATCTAGAGTGGAATTTATTAGAAGGGTTGAATGAGCCTCAGTGTGTTGGTTTCATTTTTATGTCACCTCATCAGTGTGCACGAAGCACAATTGTTAAAACTCAGACATACTATGGACGGAATGTATTTCAAAGGGAAACGATACGCCTCCTTTGAAGCACCACAGCAATATGTACAAAGGATGAATGTGTTTGACAAATTTGTACCACTATGACCTTGAGGTTATTACAGAATCAGGTCTTTACTCAAACAATTTTTCTGCGCATCTTTTTTGTTTGTCTTCATTAGTAAATCAAAACTATACGTTAATAAACACATCAGGCATACGCTTTTCGGAGACTTTATTCGATACCCCCATTTGCCTTCAGAACTGGCTGAACTCTTCATGGCATAGATTCAACAAAGTGCTGGAGACATCCCTCAGAGACTTTGATCCATATTGATATGATAGCATCACACAGCTTTGGATTTGTTGGCTGCACATCCATAATGTGAATCTCCTGTTCTACTACATCCCAGAGGTGCTCTACTGGATTGATTGGATGATTGTGTTGGCCATTTGAATGCAGTGAACTCACTGTCATCTTAAAAGAAAGCAGTTTGAGATTATTTAAGCTTTGTGAGATACCATGAAGCAGCCACCAGAAAATGAGCAAAATGTGGTCATAAAGGGATAGACATGCTCAGCAGCAACACTCAGGTAGGTTGAGGTGTTTAAATAATGCTCAGCTGGTGCCTAAAGTGTGCCAGGAAAATATCCCCCATACCATTACACTGCCAGCACCCTGATCATTTGAGGTGAGATTGATCCACATTATTATGCTGTTAATGCCAAGTTGTGATGCTACCATACAAATGTCGCAGCAGGAATAAATTCATCAGAACAGCCGACGCTTTTCCAGTCTTCTACTGTGTGCTATTTTATTGAGCTTATGTGAGTTGTAACCTTAGTTTCTTGTTCTTATTTGACACAAGTGGCACCCAGTGTGGTCTTCTGCTGCTCTAGCTCATATGCTTCAAGTTACAGTATATTATGCATTGAAAGATATTCTTCTGCATGCCTTGGTTATAAACAGTGGTTATTTGATGCTTTCTGAACAATTTGAAGGATTCATTTTCACCGTTCTGTAGAAAAGCCCTGAGATGGTGGTGCAGGGAAAACCCCAGCAGATCAGCATTTTCTGAAAACTTAGACCAGTCCGCCTGTTACATGTTTCATTCAAAGTCACTTAAATCACCTTTCTTCTCCATTCTGATGCTCAGTTGGAACTTCAGCAGGTCAACTTGACCATTTCTACACGCCTAAATACACTGAGTTGCTGCAATGTGATTGGTTAATTAGATGTTCACTTTAACAAGCAGTTCAATAATTGTACCTGATAAAGTGTGTGGGGTATGTACTTTGACATGATTAATAGTTTCTCTTAATTTCACTTCATATTTTACAAAGTGATCTGCAGATGACTGAAAACTCTAAACTAGGGCTGTTATTTTACTGCCCAGTTATTGTGCAGTATTATCACAGTGACAATAGCACAATATCTGGAAATGCAAACAGCAATATTAATAACACTATGATTCAATTTCATCATTTAGTTGTTGTTTGCTGTTCAAGAACAGTATTGAAGCCAAAGTATGAATATAGGGAGCTGTAAAGAGACTCTGCAAATCAAAGCACGTTACTTATATACATACAATATTTCCATATATTTTATTTTCAATAATGGCATGTAATCCCTACATTTCCCATCCATACTCTCATTGAACTGTGACAAAAATCTATATTTAAACTATATAGAAAAGTGAAGAAAATCACTAAGTAGGCAGATGGTTAACCTTTCATGTGAACTTTCACAATAAAAACACCACACACAGTGATAAAATCTTTCTTCACATATATTTTATAACATTTTGAAGTACATTAAGTACATTTTGGAAATAGAAGCTACAGTTTATAAAACCTTTCCAGCAGAAATCATTGATGGGCCAGCATCAGCCTTTTTACCTCTAGCAGACAGGTCTATTTTCTATATAAAAAATGAATTCAAAAACAAAAACAAAAAGAAATTAGCTACATTATTTTGTCCTGCGCTACCTTTAAATTCCCATGAAAGCACCAGCTGTCTGCATCTCGTCTTTTATAAAATATAAATTATTGAAAAATATTCAAATGCTTGTGAACTAAATACAATAAAAATGATCTCATAACAAAAATACAAAGACACTATAAAATATACAAAAAAACATCCAAAATAACAAGTTTTCCTTCTGAATCCATTCCGAGATATGCATATGCCACAAAATATTGTTAGGTGTACACTTGCCTGACTAGGTTTCATTAATACATAAGACCTGCAGTAGACTGTAGACTCTGACATTTAACAACAGTATAATTTCCTGACAAAGTAAATGTCAAAATATTAACATTTTAGGTAACAGAAATGTTTTCTCCGAGCACATTGATCTTATGAAGCCAACCATACTAACATTATGACGTTTGTGTTGGGAGGAAAAAAGAAAACATTTTTTTAATACAAACAGATAAAAAATAAGTCTTTTAAGCTCACTTTAATACAGAACACTGACATCAGAAAAATACCTGAACAATACCAAAGAAAAAAGAAAAAAAAAGAGAGAAAGAAGATTTTCAAAACACTGGTGTGAACATATGCAATAAAGGAATGAACATACAGTGCAGCTTATTCCTGAACCAACTGTTTAACTTCCAATTCTTTATCTTGGATAAGGAAACACTAAGCCAGTGCTGAATAACAATGGACAAGCTTGTTACCAGTTACACAGTATGAACGTATACATCATCTCTTACCTAAACTCAGCCGGTATCCAAAATCAAAAATGAAAAAAAAAAAAAAAAAACATCAGCAAAGACGTTACTCTTTGTCCTTAAGCTGTGTGCTTTCTGACGTATTAACAAAAGATAAAAGACGACATTTCACGAATACGTGAGAGGTTTCTGGTCCCCATCTCCTAACGTTGTGGGTGCACCGTGGCCAAAGACCTCACATGGGCTTTGGTTATTATTCCTGCTTTGTCTTTTGCTTATTTGTGTAATCTGGGTCTCAGTAAAGCATTATGAAACAGAATCTGTACAAATAGACATCTCAGAAGCTATTTTCATCCATATGGGTAACTTTCAGCTACTGTAAACAATAACATTGTATTCTAATATAATACTCAACTTTGGCATTTCCCATAAGGCTAGTGTACAGCCACTGTTCCCACTGTTTGGGAGGAAACTGTTGCCAATTTGCTTGTAACCAGTCATTCATTTCTGAACTGAATGTAGATAAGTTGCAAAAGAATGTAAAATTGAAATGGAAGCCTCTGCCATCCGTCCTATATTTCTCAAGCAAGTTAACTTGCATCACTTGTATCAACCTGTCGTCATCAGACATCACGAGAGATCACCTACATTATCCACATCACCCATCACCTTCATCTATCCTCTAAAGTTTCAGATTCTCTATAGTCAACATTTATAGTCAGTTTTCCTATTACCTGACCTGCTTTCCTACACTGTACCTTCACACTATACTACCCTTCCTTATGGCCAAAACGTACAACACATTTGAAAGAGAATTATGCAAGATAACATCAGCAAACCAACTTGCAATTTTACTCTCTAGGCAATTAATATGAAAACGTGTCTAAAAGTAAGCTTACATGGGCAGTGAAATGAAATTATGCATTTAATCTGCACATGAAACAGCTCCTCTTACTCCTGAATTTCCCCATATAAGATTGTCTACAGTTTGCTAATACTGGTGGTATATGCAAAAAAAAAAAAAAATGCACGACTTTCAGTCACAATATGCGTCTCTAACGAGGTGGCAAACATGTACATGAAGGTGAACGTGTCAGTTTCAAAAGCAACGGCTACTTTCAGTTGTCTTTCAGACACTCTTGCTATGAGTAACCTCACCAGGTCTTCACACCCTACAAAGCAAGGGGCCAGTGTCTATAGTGTTGTCTGATAACGCATCAGCACATTTCAGTTGAAAGTTCCTTGAGAACAGACGAGTAAAACTTGGCATCTAATGTTTGGTTCCACTGTAATACCGTCACTGAGAACAATGTGAAAAAATACCCTTTACAACACTTATCCAGAAGATGTACAGCGACTGTTTTGAGAAATCGGCATTAGTATGGTGGCACAAGCATAAACAGCAATTTAAACCAGACACTTTTTTTTCCCTTTTGTTTTTTTTTTTGGTCCTAGCTGAAAAAAGTCTGTCACTGCCAAAGGGAAAAACAGTAAGCATGTATGCAAGTATGAGATTATACCTTCCTCAGTTCAGTTCAGGTTTTTTTGGCAACCGTTTTCTTAGCAGGAACTTTCCGCTTCGTTTAGCCCAACATTTTTATTGTCTCTCTCTCTCTCTCAGTTCTCCCCCACTTTGCTACTTAGTCAGAACAGAACCTGAAATCTACCCGGTAACGCTTTGTCTGCTTTGAGCTGCTAAATGACACCAGTATAAGTCACTCATACACACATACACACATGCGTGCACACACACGCACCTCAAATGCAACAGGGTAAGAATACAGGTTTTAGGCTTCTGCCTTCGGTTTTAAAATTATGGTCTGAGAGACAGGAGCTCAAAGTTGACAAAGACCACAGTTATTCGTTTAAAAAAAACAGCAAAAAAAACCCAAAAACCAAAACAAAACATTTTTGGTCCCCAAAATAATTGGTTTACCAATTCTATTAAACAGTTAAGACCACTTTATGAGCCTCAGTCCAAGTGACTCCTTAACTTTTTGTCTTCACTTCCTTTTTTATTCTTTCATATCTGATTCACTCGTCCGTATCAGGCTTTACATCCAACATTGCATGCAGCTCCTCGGGAGTGTACCCCAGCAGGCTTTTCAAGTCACAGACAAAGCGGTAGACATAGCGTTTCCCAGATGTCTTGTGGATGATATTCTTGTCATAGTAGTAACGCAGGCCACGGCTCAGCTTCTCATAATTCATCTTAGGCTTGTTTTTTCTTTTGCCCCACCTTCGAGCAACCTGAAAAAGCACAGTGAACAAGCCTGTCAAGATGTGCCAGAAACATTAGAATACATACTTTTGTTGAAACTTGCAATTAATTGAGCTACATGGAACAAGCAGCCATCTTGTTCATCTGGCTAACTACTTAAGACCTCCCAGCACGTGTGCTAGATGACCAGTGGGGTCGCAACCTCTCACCTCATCTGGGTCAGAAAGCTTGAACTCCCAGCCGTCGCCTGTCCAGCTGATGAAGGACTGACAAGACTTGTCGGTCAGTAGCTCCAGAAGAAACTGCCACAGCTGGATGGGGCCACTGCCTGCAGAGCAGATGGGGGTGGAGGGGGAGAAGGTGTTCGTTTAAGAAGAAGAGCTATACACACTGAGAGGACACATTGTTGTTTGTGCAGATGCCAGTTGCTGTGGGGATTGATTGAGGTGAGGCTAAGTTCAGAGCAAAAGAGCTCCTGTTGTTGGAAAATGCTCCCAAGTCCCATAGTCTGCTCAACATTTTATCGAACTAAACTAGTATATTTCACATAACAATACGCCGAATCTAGGAGATATATTCCCATCAGTCCATGTGCTATGCAGAATGTGTTGAGGAACAGCACTGTCTGTACAATGTCCTGTCTGTGATAAAAGTCATGGCCAGAAGAAGCACGACACTAAGTACTTATGCTATATATGAAAAGTGTTACATATTCACGCTAATTATTCACTTAATTTGAAAAGAGGAACAAAGTAAAGCTTCTAATCTGGGTCAGACTGAAGTACAGCAGTGGAACTAAATGTCGTCCCAAGCACAGAAGTCCCATTCATCATGTATTCCCTTGTCTGCCAGTTGCCCTGTGCAGTATGTGAATTTAGAGTGAGAGGCTGTGTCTGCAAGAGTTCCACACTGATGAAATCACTATTTTAAAAATAAGAAGGGCTGCATTTAGGCTTCAGCAGCACATCTACTGTACTTGAATAGAGTCTGTTTTAAGAAAGAGAGCAGTTGCCAAGTTCAATGCAAAGTTAAGAGGGTGCATTTTTCCAAGAGTAACATTAAATGAATAAACTAGTAAAACATCATTTCAATGTCAGAGCAAAAAGTGTATTAGAGTTCATGGAAAAAAAAAAGGAGGGAAAGCAGAACAAAGGCGATAAAAAAAAAAGCCTGGTTTTGTCTCTGAACTAGATTCACTGCAGTGCACTTTGATCGTGTGGTTTTTTTTTTGTTTGTTTTTTTTTTTTCAGCATACACATGAACCCACCCACTTTTGAGGCTTGCGTGTTGAAATCACACCTGCCAGTGCAGCACACCGCCTAAGCAAAACTGGAGCTAAGCAAAAGTCACCTCTCTCGAGTGCCTCAGAAAACCAAACGTAGCCTTTTTGTAACAAAAACAAAAGCGTTCAGGGAAACAGACGTGTGGGTTGAACAACTCGAAATTTAGAGCCCTCTAAGGCCTCGCAGGGACTGAAGAAGAAGGTGCATGACAGCAGCCATTCCGAGTTTGGAAAATAAGTGGCTCCGCAACATCGGGTGTCACTCATACAGAAAGCTTTGACTCGTGTTCCTGCTGCAGTAACTGTGAGCCCACATAAGGGTAATACCAGAATCTCGTGCTTTCACGCCACAATGTAGGCAACCCTTTTTAAAATATGTTAAAATCTTTTCACAATGGGGCTCACTGAACAAGCATAAGGTTGGGGCTCGTCTTCATAACGATAAGTATTGAATCCATGGCAATATGAGTCTAAAACCTATATGGCTATTTAAAGGACGATAATTCAAAGGTGTGGATAAAAAATTTTAAAGGCGAGACCAGCTAATATTGACTGGCGAATTACTATTTTTTACAACGTTGCAATGCAAAAGCCCTCTGTGTGTACGAGCAAATACATGCAATAGTGAGACAGAGAGCGAAATATCATGAGCCAAAATGAGAGTTCGCTATGTTGTAAGGTGGCCTGATGTTATTGCAGACAGAGGTGTAAATGATGAATTGTCGCAGGAAACCACGCAGATGGCAACTGGAGCCTTATCTCCCTGCAGCCTTATCAGGTCCCCTGTCCTCGTTACAAGTGTCACCTGTCACCCCGTGACTTAAACAGGAAGTCGAGCAAGAGCAAGCTGTCGAGCTGTCATAAACACTGTTTTGGAATTGTACAAGAGGTTGTTTCTTTATTTTGAGGGATTTCTTTTTTCCAGATAGAGGTCTCTTTCTCTCTCTTGCTCCCCCGATCCTTTTTTTTCTTCTTCTGTTTTTATTCACCCACCCACACATGCACATGGGCAAACACAAAAATGCTTCCATCTTTGAAAGACCACAACTCTCTTTGCACTACTCTTTAAAATAGCAGGGTCCAGAGCGGCAGTTAGAAGTTTTTGGTTGTTGTTTTTTGTCTTAAAAACTGGAGTGTTGTGGCATTATTACCTTCATGGTTATAGTTTCATAGTCAAAACAAGTCTCTTCTCACATTAGGCCGAAAGCAGCTGCCATGCTTTCCTTACAAGTACACAATTTGGAGTTGAAACATGCAGTACATAAAAAGACAGATTATGAAACTATGCAACTATGACTCGTTTATAATATGTTTACGCCGTGACTGCTTGCAGCCAGTTTGCATTGCCTCTGCTGGTTTAGCGTGCAGGGAGAAAACAGATTTAGATCATTCTAGAGATGCTCTGTGCCTTGGTCTAATCCATTTGGTTATAAATTCATAACTATGTCGTTCCAACATTTCATAAATGACTTATTGTTCTAAAGGTGGCTCTTGAACTAATGACCATACAGCTGACCAATTAACTTGTGCATACCAACTTTGGGGCACTCTGCAGAGATCTGATGTATGCATTGTTTGTGACGTTGGAAAATATGCTTGGATTTCCCCCTTTTTCCAATACTGGCAGTCTTACTGCCATGTGACTGTAATTTAAACAAGACCGAAAAAGTCCCAAACACTCTGTGAAGAGTCGATTCAGCGTCAGCGTTCAACTGTGTCAGTGTTCAGCTGTGTTTACAGTTCAGCTTTAAACTAGAATAACTTGAATTAAACCCCTTTGCAGGGATTTGACTTTTCTCTTCGTATGTTTGGCAATTGACATTAAAAGACAGCTAACTTGAGGCCAAAAAAACAGAGCTATTTATGTCATCTTTCTTGATTCAAATTAACTTAAAAGTTGTATTTATGGCTCAGTGCTGATAAACGGTTAAGAAGTAGCAACAGCAGCAGTTGGGTTTCTTTTTTTTGCACCCTTTTGAAACTAAAAGTCATGCCAGATGCTAAAATAGTGCATTTGCTGCACAAGAGCCTTTAAAATATCTCTCCATCTTACTGAACTTGAAGAACATACATAAAGGAGCTTTTTCAGCATGCATGAGTGAGAAGATGCCTCATGAGATGAAGAGATAATTTTACTCTGCTCTGGTGTTATGTGCAGGCATAATTTCTAAGTTTCACGAGCGTTGCTAGGACGACCTGGAAAAAATAGGTTGAGATGCGGGCTGCCGATAAGAAGAAGGTAGATGAGAAGACAGAAAAGAAGAAGAGAAAAAAAAAGCGAGAGAAAAAGAAGTGAAGTAAAAGGAGGCATGAGTAAAATCTGTTTTATTTCCTGTGATGTGCATAACTTGGGTTGCCTGGGTAAAAGGTGTGCTTTTTTTCCCTTCTTTGGTCTAAAAGTGTTGCATTCAGGCACCACAAGATTTGGCACTTTTGCAGAGCATCAACAAGTTTGTTACACCACATTATACACTGCATTTTGTGCCCTACAGAAGTGTTTATATTAAAATTATATTCACAGAAATCAACAATCGGACTGGTTTTCCATAAACGTCTACCGTTTGCATGCACGCGATCAGAAAAAATACATATAGACCAATATTACTCTTTTACTGTAATGACTGCATATAAATATAAAGTGTGATTTCTAGACATCTTACCTGTGTATCCTGCCAGTGCTGCTGCTGGGATGACGGGTTTGTCCTTGCTGAGGTCTGAGCGCTCCCTCACATAGTCTTTAAAGGTGCCCTTGGGCTTGTGGCCATGCAAGGCAGCGGGGTAGTCTTCTGAGTCAAAGCTGTCATAAGACGGTACCCGCTGCAGGCTGCTAAATGAAGACTGGCTGCTCCAGGACTGGGTCAGTCGGTCGCAGCTCTCATAGCTGTCAATGCTCTCAAACGAGTCCTGGCCACCAAGCTTACCTGGAAGGGAAAGGGCGAAAAAAAATTTAAAAATTGGCAAGAAAGCCATTGTTATGTAGGTAGAAACTCTAAACTCACATTACTGTGATTTCAAACTCTGACATTGTTTGTGGACAAGTTATATGATATTAAAATTTTAGCATTTAGGCCAGTTTGATGATGGCAAAAATCTTAAGATGATTCCCGTCAATGTTGCATTGATGTTGGCATTGCACATTAGTGATTACTCAGTTTTATAGCATTATTCAATTTGTCACAGTCACACACAGGCTATGTTTTTTTAGTCATCCCAAGATGAACCAAGTCTACCACAGCCTGATGGAAAGTGACTTTGGACTTTCAGTAAGAGCCAAAGTTGAACCGATGGAAAAGAAATAAGTGCACTCGCTATATGACACAGATAGATTCTATGACAAATCACTATTACCTCCAAAACTGTCGGATGGCGAAACTTGAACAATAGCAAATAACTCTGAATTAATTGCGAAAACCTTGCTGAGATTTGACAAAAGGGACATTAGCCACACCTTAGAAGTAAATTGTTTTGCTCCTCACTAAGCTATAGCTTATTGCTCTGTACAGTGCCACGTCCCTCCATTTCACACCTCATTTCACTTTCACAACCAGCATTTGGGTTTGATTTTAAATGGAAGACATTCACAGAAATTGCCCCGCTATTTTTGGCCTTGATGACGATAAGAGGAGTCTTTCAGTGGTAAGCCATTAACAAATGACAGATAATGCCATGCCGCTATTGATGCTGAAATCTTCAACTGGTAAAATTGGAGCCACATGTGGATATCAATTGTGCTACAAGATACTTTCCCACGTCGGGAGAGCACAGTTCAATGCGCAAACACTTGGTATGTGTGATGCATGGGGATTGGATCTCAAGCTTTGCAGGCAAATGCTTAAAGCACTGGATGGAGGACTCGTATGGTTTACATGGCACTTGCTAATAATTTATACAGCTGGGGATTTGGGAGAAGAAAAACCCTAGCTTTATGGGTAACGGTCTAAATCATACCGCTAATTCCTCTGTAAACTATTGCTGGGAGAGAAAACAAGCTCGAGCATTCAGAAAAGCAAACAGTTTCATGAGAAAACCCCACGCTAACTGAGGATGACACCTCTATCTCCTTACCCAGAACCCTAAGGTTGCGCCGAAGAAAGGAGGCCAAGAAAAACAAGAAAGAGAAAAAAAAGACCTTTTTTTTTTAAGGTTACACCACTTGAACTGTTTTACATAAGGGACATGCGGCAAGAACAGAACACATTGTGGCTTTGGTTCGTGTATCGCTCTGACAAAAACAATAGAGTTTTTTTTTCCCCAACCCAGTCTAGAGTGTACAAGTCGGGTTTGCTTGAACCACAAGCCAACCAGAAGGCCTGCTTTTCTTCTCTTCTAATACTTGCACACTGATGTGGCATGACAAGATTCTGGTAGCTTCAGCACAATCACACGCAGGCAGACACCCATAGAAACCTTCAACTTTTACATGCATTCAGACAAACTCAAGCAAGTGCATGTGGTAAGCAGGTAATTAGAGCAAACCTTCTGAGTAAAATGTAAATGCACCACATTTTCACTGCAAAGCTAGTCCCACATTCTTTAATGTCTCCTCAAATCTCAGCCACATACTTATGCATTGTACGATCGCTCACCTCTGCTGAGGCGTCCCACGCACATGTTGTCAGGTGACACCACCTCTTGCTTGACAGAAAAGTAGTCTCCCGGCATGCCGTTGAGGGCCGTGTCCCGGAGGATGACCGCAGCAGGGTATTCACTCTCATATTTGAGGGTCAGCAGTTCTTCTGAGCTGATGGGATGAAGTGTCTGGTAGGACTCTGTGATGAAGCCGGGCTCTGAGTATTCAGAAGGAGGGACACACTGAGCGTGCTCAACACCATAGCCTGGAGCAAACAAAGGGAAATGAGTGTAGATAGAAAGCAGAGAAGGAAGGCAAGCAAGGAGCAACACAGAGGAGGAAGATCGATCTTAAAAGGAGTGGAGTCATTATCCCTCTTGTGCTGAGCCGCCACCGAAGTTCTCGGCACGTGAATAGTCCAAAAGAAAATATAGCCCTGAGCACACGGGAACAATCTTGTAGATTTTCAGCAAGACATATTGATTGAAGCTAAACTCAGCAAAAAATTCACAGTGATGCCACTGTACGTGTGGTCACTATTCATCTACAGCTGCAAAGATGCACTGAGGATCTATATCTAGGAAATAAATCCAAGAAAAAAAATGTGTGTGGGGGGATTATTTGTTAACGCTAACCAACTTGCCACACTGAACCACCTTATCTACTTCCTCTATTTGGATTCCCTTTCATATTTTAATATTTGTTTTCTTATGCTATCAGATTGACTGTGATGAATACTTACTGACAAAGTAGTCTGAGGTAAAGCGGGATTCCTGGAAGTTAGAGTTGAGTCCATTCATGGGGTAATGCTTTGTATCCTCTTCATGAAAAATAGATGGAGAATGAGAATCAGTGACCTCATCATTGATTTTATGTATCGTGTAACTGCATCCTGCTCTATCAAAAATTAATGACCTGAGCTAAATCGTGTCTTCCTGTTTGGCTCCTGTTACAAGAGCAAATACCAACAGTCCTAAACTGGAGTAAGCAGTGATGTCAGCCTGTGTAGTGAGAGCTTTCTTATTTGACTCGCATCACAAAACTGAGACTTTTAAATCTCTTAAACTCATCTGATAATCAGAGGATAACCATCTTACGCTGTTACCTTTTTGAAGCATTTCCAAATGCTCCCAAAGGATGTCGCCCACAAAGTCAGGCGCCAAGTCCAAGAATCGCTCCTTCCCCATCGCACACAGGCTGGCTCCGTTGATGCCAAACTTGTCAAAATCGACGTTCTTCAGACTGAATTCGTTCACGGTCCACGTTAGCCACTCGGCCACGTGCTTTTCTGTCCACAGTCTAGGATCTGCACAGGATTGCAAAGAGTGGCAGTTACTGTTAAACGTCGACAACACCATCCAGACACATTTACTCAAATATTCAGGTCAGCTTGTGAATGATACAACAGGACAGATTCTCATTTTTTGCAGTCTGAGCTGGAGCCAACTTTCACTTAATAACCTACAGCAAAGTGGGAAGCTGAAGTGACTGTAAACCACAGTTGTAATGAAAAGCTAAAAAAAATCATAATTTGCAGATCACATGGGTTGCTTTAATTGCTTCAGTTTTCAATGCCATCTCTTTGCTGTCTGTCTCTGTGTCTCAATTCTTGGGATGTTGCAGTCAGTCAGTCTGCCTGGACTGAATATATATAATGCAACGCCATTTCTGGAACAACTGGGCGTTTCCTTTTCAGTCAGTCTTTCTAAGAGGTGCTTTCTCAGAATCCTCTGAAGAAAGCCGAAATGTGAAAGAACTGCAGATGTGTGCGCCTGATATGTGACACACTGAGGTATTCTTAGAGGGCTGGTGCTGCAATTTGAGTTTTCAAATGAAAACATTAACAGGAACTAATGACAGCAAAAAGCAGCTGGCAGTCTTACCTTTGGGAATACCCAGTCGCTGCTGTTCCTTTGTGAAGCCACTAAAGGTAGCCTTCAAAGCCTGGGACATCATCTCTTTACTTCCTGGAGTTAGCAGGGGGACATCTCCACACTCGGGATCTGCAAATCACAAAGAAGAATATTTATTTTGAGTAACACCAGCATCTGTTAGACTTGAAATCCAAATGACTAATATTACATGCTCCTTTCACTCCTATTGACAACTGAGGCTGCGGCAGTGCATCCTGTATTATATTTCATGCCGATAAAGCTCGCTGAATGGAAAATTTAATTGAGACAAAGAGGTGGCGGGAAGAGTCCTGTGAATGTGCGCTTCGGTTAGACATTGACACAGTTACGTGCGCGTGCATCCACGTCCACACAAACACAGCAAACATTTATATCTACCGTGATCAACAACATGGTTCAACAATTACATTCCGTCTAGACAGACACTGTCTCCATATCGGCTCCAATCTATTGAAACAAGGACTGTCACAGCTTTGGCTCGAACCTGTTTAAAAAGTAAGGGAGAGCCATGTCACTGTGTGTATACTGTGTTGGTAAACCCCACATTTATTATCTTCTACCTGTACATCCTGGGTGGGAGAGTGGTCAGTGGCCAGTGCTGCCCATCAGCGACACTATCACCTCTGCTAGCCCTCCTACCACGTCGCCCCGACACAGTGGGCCTACTGTCACAGGACCCAGCGCGGGGTCAAGCATTCTCACAGGTCAAGGGTCGAGGGATGAGGTGATGATGTCACCGCGGCTGCTGGCGAGTGACTTGGAAAGTCGGGGGTGGCCCGTCTCGAGGGGATTCAGTTACACACTAGGGTTACTGTTCTCGGCTCACAGCCAGTGGGCAACCAGTGGGACACAGAGCTCCCTTTGATGGCTTTAAACAGTGCCTGATGACTCGCACTCATCTAATTAGATTTACTGGGCTGCAGAAGTATGGCGATAAGGGGGCAAAACAGAGGATATGATGAGGAGGAGAGAAGGGGAAAGACCCTCTGGCCTCTAATATAAAAACAGACTAGTTAAAAAAACAAAAACAAAAAAAACCCCAGCAACCTAGGCTCAACTTGTAAACAGCCACAAAAAAAGGAACCTAGAGTTTCAGTTAGGGCATATTTTATCGTTTAAATCTCCAAACCGTCCACACACATTTGCACAGCACACAATTACATCTGTTATTATCTGTTACTGTGCAGTAAAGCTTAATGTCACTTTCTCGTGTACTCAACTTTTTGGGGGGGGGGGCAACGTGCATACGGCAAAACTTAAAAACACAGCAGGTCAGCTTAGGTCTCAAGTAGGTTAACATGCAAACACATAAAAAAATCAAAGAGTCAGCCAGGTCTTGATTTTGGTGGTGAGTCTATTTCTTTAGATCATTTTTTTCTTTGTCCATTACATGCAATTTCAAATCATTAATCCTAGATCACAGAAAGGCTTGTCTTCAGGGCAAACAAGCTGTGAGGAGTGGGTGTGTCACACTTGCAGCACCGCCATGTGTCAAACCCAGATGTTCTGGCATCTCCACTGGCTGGTGTTTTATCTGCCAGCAGTATACTAGAGCAACATACAGTTCATGCTTGTTTTCACCACTGACGTCGCGACCTTGTCTGGAATGCACAGCAGCTTACCCCCCCGTCCCTACTTCGCCCATGTAACCAATGTCTGTCTGGCTGTTTGTAAAATTAGGTTTCCCAGTTTCTGTTTTTTCGGTCTTTAGGTCGTTTTTTTTCCCCCTTTTCTTCCCCCTCTCAAGCTTTTTTGCAGCAGACTGGAGAAAAAAGACAGAGGAGCTCTTTGCTTCTTCCTGTGATTCAATTTGGGCTGTAATAATATAGTCTGAACAAACAGAATGTAACCATTTCAGTCAGAAGTGAAGGTAAAAGGTTGAAGAGTTGAGAACAGCCATTGTTTTACAGTCTCACACAAAAACCCAGTTTAACTACTGTCAGACATGGCTCACACATCAAAATAAAGCTGGTTTCTCTATTTGACAAAAAAAAAAAGACTGCAAGGTTGTCTAAGTTTCTACTGAGCTCGTTTTGCTTTTAAGTAGTGTTGGTAATGCAGAGAGGTACATGTTGCAAATGGCTGCAAACTGAGATGTGACCGGGGCTCAGACAGTCTGTGCTTTGATGTGAAAGCAAAGGCAAAATGTGGCAGTTTATTTAAGCTGGCTCAAGTGGAGTTTGTCTGCACTTTCAAACCGCTTACACCCCTCCCTCCACACCGCTTTTATCAACCCATCCGCACCACGTACTTGCCCACACAGACTTGAACCCACTTTAGCACTAAATCTTCCATCAAAGACACTTAACACTACAGTGCATGAGAACTAACATTAGACACTAGAGAGAGTAAAAAGAAAAATGTGAACCCCGTCTACAAAGCATATCATTATTGGGTTGTTTTAATACTTCTTGAAATCCTGCTCAGGCTCTAATTCAAACCACAAACACAATTTAAAAAAAAGAAGAAGGTTGACTGTCAGGTGACAGTCAAATAGTGTGTTTTGTGTACATACACTACTTTGTTGTAAATTTTTCTTTTTGATCTGAGCTGATCTCCTAAAAACATGATGCAGAATGTTCAGCAAGGCTGAAAGGAGAACGCTAAACGTAACAGTGAAGTGATAATAGAGCAGTCTCCATGGTGAATGATCCATATGAAAGTTATCTGCGGCAGTGCTAATGTACAATGTGCATCCATTAGCGAGAGAGGCGAGCTTGGATCTAGACAGTCTCGAGTAAATGATGAAGTCCTGATACGATTTCAATGCCTGCGAGCCCCATTAGATAGAGAACGGTCAGTATGTACTGAGAGCTAGAGCATCCACTAGTCATCACTTTCCACATTAGACTGTGTGGGTCTGTCCGCAAAATGAGTCCCATCCACTTAGCTCATGAAATGTGGGAATGGATGTAAATCACAGGCAACATTATGGCATTTCACTGACAAGTATCTGACTTAAAAGAAGAGAAAAAAAGAAAAAGAGCTTCTGCAGCAAAATGTACAAAATGAAACCAATTTTACTAATGAGGTAAAAACCATATTAAGTTCATCTATGCTAAGAATCACTGACGAATTGAGACTGATGTTTAGTCTAGATTACAGTAAAAGGTATTGATTAGCCACTCTCCTCTTGCCATGAAATGAGTAATGGACAAGCTACTGAGTGCGACGACGATATTTCCCCCAGGGGTTCTCGCTGAGGCTGTTCCACCTTTACTGCTCTGCCCTTGTGAGCAAGGCCCAACCCAACTTTAGACAGAGGTACTTCTTTGGCACCTCAGGCTGTTAAAGTGACTCACATAAACACACATATACATATACACACCAAATTAGTGGCCGTCTTTGCCTGTGCGCCAGAGCGTGGGTGTGAAATTGGGATTTTCACAGCCAGGGCCAAAGTCTATTGGGCTGGAATAGGCACGGATGGGCAGGGCGGGACAGGGCTGGGGAAGATAGCAAGAAAGCATCTTGGGTGGGTGATGGGTGACTGAGTTGGGTGAGGGGTGGGCAAAAAAAAAAAAAGAGCGAGAGAGAGAGAGAGCGAAACCAATGAATGGGAGGTTTCATAAAGCTCCCTCTCTTCTCCTTGTCTGTGGCATGACATCACAGTGGGATCGGTGCCATCTCCCAGCCTCTGGCGGAGAGTCAGTTCATTCATAAAGCCTGGACTGCTGCCTCTGCTCCGAATGATGCAATGATACAACAGAGCAGGCAACCAGACCCAACAAATAAGGGACAATATGCTTTCTATCATGCGATTGAGCTATAAATAGGCCTATAGTTTATGAGTGGGTGTGTGTTGGTGTGAGGAAGCAAGATCGGACTGTGAATAAAAAAATAAGGACAAGATCTGAAAGGTTAAATCAAAGCTGGGCTTTTGATAGCCTTTGTCAATAGCAAGGAGCCAGTACTTAGGACGACATAGCCGTTTATTTATATCAGATTGTGGCAATTTGGGTATCCCGCTATTCGCACATCTTAGCACATTGGGGTGGGGACGTCTTTATAAAGATCTGCATAAGTCCATTTCCTGTGGCTGAGTTGCCACTTCCTGTGGGAGGTGAGGTGAATTGAGGGTTCGGGTGAGGGTTAAAACATTTCATAACAACCACTATGGGCTTATACCCTTCTTGATTATCCCTACATGCACACACGTACATATTAAACAGGATTACGGCAAGCTGTGAGGAAAAAAAACAGGAGCTCCTGGTTAATAGTTAAGAGCTTATAATTAGTTCTTCAAGGCAGACCAGCCCACAGCTGACCAGAGGTGACAGGAGTATGTGAGAATGCCTTTGATGGAGATACATATCTAGACCCCCGGTCTGCAAAAGCAGGGTCATAAACTCGGCTGGTATGAAGGGGACCCATTCAGCACCACAGAGTGATAAAGTGGTGACTGAAGGCTGCAGTGGAGCAAAAGGAGAAGAACGGGGTGGCGGTCTGGTTTTAAGAGGGCTGCTTGTTCAGTCAGCCAGACTGTTTAAATTTCCATCTCAATGCCAAGAAACCAGGAATTGAAGTGTATGCAAGGCGATGAAGCCGGCCAGACCGGCAGCAGACCTTAGCATGCTTCGAAGCAGGACAACGTCAGGCTGAAGTCCTCCCACGCGCAAACCAGTACAATCCCACCATCACAGGCAGCAGTGCTGAATAACTAGTTTTATTCTTAGATCTTCACCACTGCCTTCTGGCTGCCCTCCTGAAACACAAGCCTGTGGTGGTGTAAAGCTGCTGTACGGGACAAGCCTAGTATTGCTGACATCTGTCTTTGGCCATGAAAATAGAGTTGCCCAGGATCATCACCACCACAGACACACTGGCTACTGAAGCAGACAATAAGTCAGACTAATACCCCATAGCTGCCTTTCTGTCTTTCTTTCCTCCACTCCCTCCTTCTCTGAAATCATATTAGCCCATGATGTGAAAGTGCATTAACGCTACTGTTTATGCTATGGCCTCGGTGCTTGATATGACATTCACTTTGATCCACGCCATCACCAAGAGACACTTAACATTATTTTTCTTTTTTCTTTTTTTTTGCTAAAAGCTTGTTAGAAATTCTGTCCTAGAAAAATAAAAAATAA